CTCTGCAGGAGCCCTGGCTGGGTGCAGGGGAGGGAGCTCGGAGGAGCCTCCTTCTCAATTATTCATGGTGAGATCTCAGCTGATGGAGCTGGGGCTCTCAGAGGCTGGTTCCTAATGGAGCCTGATGACGTGTCTGGTCAGTAAGCACTCCTGGGCCCTGCACAATTCCCACTTCTCCCATCTCCATGCTATAAAAATGCCACCTTCTCCTGCTAATGATGCATTATGCAGACATTACTCAGGGTTCATAGCCCTGCTGCTATCATGCAAACATCTTGAGCTGTTAGTGGGGAAGGGCAGCATGTGCTCTCCAGCCAGGGAAATCACAAATGCTGGGATCTGCCAGGAATCCTACCCGTGCTGGAGGCTGATGGAGGGATGACAGACCATCTGAGATCAGCTTGCACAGGGAGAAGAGGTACCAACAGGCATAGCTAGAGCACAGTGTGGCCTGCAGACATCCCACCCCAGATCTTTTTGCAGAGGATGGGAAGATGACAGATGACACTTGGGGCTGCATCAGCCGGCACCCCAGGTGCTGCAGACCAGTTAGCAGGATGTGCTGATTGCCCACAGGACATCTCTACCTGCAGGGTCAAACGATGCCATGGATGATGGGTGGAGGCACTGGTAGAAGGTGACTCAGGAATGGCAAATTTACTGGTTGGATATTGTGTAGGAGAATGTGTTAAATGCTGCATCAGGAACACCTGGCAGCCTCGCGACCCTTCTGGCTGTTTGCAACACTGTCCAGGGTTTCCTGGGGCCCTCTCCTGTCCAGGTGGACATCCCATACTGACTGGGTAGAACTTGAAACATGACTCTGGTGTATGCACAGCTCAAGGTGCCACGTAACCAAAGAGGGGGTTCACGAGGGCCACAGTATTATGGCAAGGCTTAAGTCACCTTGAACAGTCCTGTGTAACATCCCCGTGCCCATGTCATCTACTGTCCATCCCAAATGGAGAGCTGTGGAGGTCCACCCATTTATCCATTCATCCCCACAGCCTTTTATCCTCACAACAGGCATATCTCCATCTAATGCCCCTTCTCAGACTGACATGACACTCCATCCGTCCATCCATCTATTCATCCCAATGCACTCATCACCCAACTATTCTTCTAGCTCAAACCAGTGCTCCACTCATCTCTGAGTACTTGGGATAATAGCTCAAACCTGGGATGGTTTTCATGTCCTTTCCTAAAAGGAGAGTATTAAACCCTTGTGATCACGGTGTGGACCATGTAGGGTCTGTAAGGGTTACAGGAGTGCAGGAGACCTCTCTTTCAGGAGGGCAGAGGACATGTTGATGGGAAGGATCTGCACCCGCTTCTTCTCATGACAGGAGGAGCATCCTCAGAAGTGTCTGCATGGGCAGACAGCTATCGTGCCCAAGTCCTCCCTCAACAGGCTCCCTAGCACCTGTAGCAGGCGATACAAGCTTCCTCCAGATAGATAGCCATGTTTATAAAATGTCAGTGCTGGCAGAGAGATCCCGATCCCTTTTCCAGCCAACTGGCACCCAGGGAAGGTCCCCAAGCCAGCCTGCCTGGCTGAGTGGTGGCAATGCCTGCCAATACATGCCAAAGGGCCCTGCCACCAGCAGGCCATGCCCGAGAGCAGCGAGGCTGGGCGCTGATTTGGGATCACGTTGCCTGGTGGAACCCATTGCCCAAGAGCTCTGGGACCTGCCAGAGGGTGAGAGGGAAAAGCTGCTTTTGGGGACCCCCCAGGATGTCCCCAGCATGGATAGGGCCATGCAGCCACGGCACGAGATGGTACCCGCTGCAAGTGGGCTGAGGGCTGGAGTCAGTAATGCACTCAGTGCCGGAGGAGACAGGCAATTACCCCCCAGAGTGGTGACCTGCCCATCCTGCCAGGAGAGTTAGGGACCACAGGTCTGCAATCATCTAGCCCGTGGCCACACTGCAGGGCTCCTGGGAAGGGACATGGCCTGGGGACTCTCCTTCCACAGCAAAGAGAAAAACACCTCTCACACCCTGGGGCCTGGGGTCCTCTGGCACCTCCACCCTAATGGCCCTGCCCAGGCCTGGGATGTCCCCACTGAGCACAGCAAGGGTAGAGGAGAGCTCCAGCCCCACCACGATGGAGGAGGTGAAGGTATGGGCACTACAGAGTTCAGAGGGATGGGACATCCCCAAACTAACCCCTGGGGTTTGGGGCAGTGGAGAGGGGACTTCCATTTGCTTTCAAAGCAGTCCAGAAACGGAGTCCACAGCATGGCTGTATTGGTCCGCAGATCAGTTCACCAGTTCTCTCCATGGGGACAACTGGTGCTGCAGTCCCAAGGCTGTGCCGATGGGGTGGAAGATGCCCAGTCTCTTGCTTCAGCTCAAACACTGGAAAATGCTCACTGAGGCACACATGTGCATAACCAGCTGCTTGAAATAAATTACATGGGCATGAAAACATGCATGGAAGCATGTGTACCAACAGTCATAGACATCCCCCCATGCACACAGGCGGATGCTTTCCAGATGTAAGGACACATGGACATACATGCAAATACACACACACTCTATCCCTGCATGCAAACACCCACCTCCGGCCTAGGCTGGGCTTTATTTCTTACCCTCTGCTTGCAGAGCAGTCCCAAACCAACACCGGGGCTCCCAGCATCTTGCCCCATCACTGAGAGCCCTTTGTCCTCATCACTGAGTCCTACAAAGTCCCTGTGCACCAGGGATGTGTCTCCTCCTCTAGAGCTGCCTGGAGGATGTGTTCCTTGCCCATTAGCTATGCCAATACCATTAGCTGACCCTTAATTATGCTGCCTTCCTTTTCTGCAGGAGAGAGCCATTAGCTCCCCACACTCACATTAGGAAATAATTGCCCTAATGGGTTCTACCGGTCGCCTGGTCCATGCGTGCTGCACGTTACTGCCTTGGGTGGCCTCTGGCTGGCAGAGAACAGAGCGTGGACACGGGGCTCCTACCTGCAGGCAGGGAGACATGGCTTCAGCATCAGGGGGATGTGGCTCCAGCATCCCCAGGACCTCCCATGGGACAAGGGATGGGAGACCCCAGCCCTCTCCAGTGATGGAAAAGGGAGAAGGGGAGCAGGACTGGGCCAGGTAGGTCAGTGTGGAGGGGGCTCTGATGGTGGCCACGGGGTGGGCTGTGTGTCGGGGGGGCATTTGGGATGCAATACCGGTGACGTAAAGGCACAATGGAGCCAAGGCACCCAGGGCACTGCCAGGAGTTGCCAGCAGCTCCCAGCTTAAATAGCAAGCACTAGTTGTGTGCCGGGAGCCCACGGCTAAGGGTAAGTGTGAAAGGTGCTGTGTGGGGCTGTTCACCAGTAAATTTGTCCATGAGTGAGCAACCGGCTGCCCACAGCCCCACGCTGGCATTTGCTGATGGCTGTGGCAGGGCCAAAGCAGGGCTATGTGAGTGTCCCAGCTACGGGTGACGTGCAGGGTGGGCGCTTGCAGAGAACAGTACCATCCTATACATGTTCCAGAGCCACAGGCATGAGTTATCCTTGGGATTTTAGGTCACCATGACAAACCAAAGCACTGATTTACTCAGGACTAAGCTGGAATGGGCCCCACTATCCTTTAATGGACATATGCCTGGTGGGACAACAAACTGTGCAGCATCTGGGGGCTCGGGTTTGCTGGAGATCCAAGCAGTTCCCCCAGGGACCATCAGCAGAAAAGGGCTCAGGAAGGTCTGTCTCCAGTCATCAGCTTTAATAACAAGAAAATAGGATGATGGCAGTTTTTCCATCTGCAGCAGAAGGAGCTGGGAGCATCTTTCCCAGATGCAGGCAGACTCCAACCTAAAATGACCGACACCCACGTCTCTGGGATGACCAAACACAGGCCCTGCTGCCTGGAGATGAGGCGGCTCTGGTGAGGACATGGGGGTGGCAGCAGCTGTGTCTGTGGGCTGATGCAGTAGGTGCTGGTGTGAACAGACCCTGGCTCGTGCCCATGGGCACAGGAGCATGCCACCCCCAGCAGAGCTGGTGGATGCTGGAGTCAGCGGAGGATTTCCCAGGGTATCTCCAATCTCTTGCAGCCTGGCCCTCACCCACACAAGAGAGGGGTCTGGAGCCCAGTGTGCTCGCCCCCGCCAGCCCTGACAGACATCCAAAGCCATTGTGTGTCCAGGGAAGGGCAACGGAGCTGGTGAAGGGTCTGGAGCAGAAGTCTGATGAGGAGCAGCTGAGGGAACTGGGGGTGGTTGGTCTGGAGAAAAGGAGGCTGAGGGGAGACCTTATTGCTCTACAACTCCCTGAAAGGAGGCTGGAGCGAGGTGGGGGTCGGTCTCTTCTCCCAAGTAGCAAGTGAGAGGATGAGAGGAAACAGACTCAAGTTATGTCATGGGAGGTTTATATTGGATATTAGGAAAAATGTCTTCACCAAAAAGGTTGTCAAGCCTTGGAACAGGCTGCCCAGGGAAGTGGTTGAGTCACCATCCCTGGGGGTATTTAAACGAGGGGTAGACCCACGGGGTTTAGTGGTGGACTTGGCAGTGTCATGTTTATGGTTGGACTCGATGATCTTAAAGGTCTTTCCCAACCTAAACGATTCTGATTCTACTGTGGTCCCTGGCCAAGCAGTGCCACCCTGTGGCAAAGGTCCTCCTCGCCTCTGAAGGGGGTGATGCCCCTGGACCCCCGTCCCAGGCCCCCGGGTCCACGGTTCTGTCTGTCCCTGCTGATAACACCCCCAGTCTTGGCCCCCTCTCCCCTGGTCCTGCACATGACCCCAACACAGCTCAAGACATCCCACCTCGTCCCAGTGCTGCCACTGAAGCTCTTTCCCCATTGCTTTGACCAAATATCTCCAGGGCTCCAACCGAAAGTGTGTTCCTCCAGCCCTACCCCTGGGGGTGCAGATAAGGGGGGTGCCCCGCTCCCACTCCCAGCAGCCCACTGCCAAGGGGGTCATTCCTTGGTACTCTGCATTAATTCCCCAGAAAGATTAATAATAAAGTTTATTATTAAATAATGAGGTGTGGACATGTCATTATCAGGTAATAATTTCTTGTGAAATAAGATTTCCATTCCAGTGTGGTGTCTCAAGCACTATTCCCCAGGCAATCTCCCAGTGCTTCATATAGGGGTCAGTGCCATTGCACTCCAGGTGTGGGTGGGGAAACTGAGGCATGGGGTGGGGGACTGCAGTGTCAACATCACAGGGAGAAGCTGGGCAGTCATCAGCCCATCCAGGGCACCATGCCCCGGCTGTAACCCCAGAGGCAAGGGTGCGATGCCATCATCTCCTCTGCCCGAAACTGCTCACCCCTTTCCAGCCCCACGTGGTTCTTATTTGTTCCCCTGAAATGTTCTGGCTGATCCCAGAGGTGCCTCGGTGGCACTGCTGGCTGTGTTTTTCCTACCTGATGCTCAGCCAAGCAGTGGGAACCTCTCTTTGGGAGTATGGGAACCACGTGCCAGCCCTCCACCCCGCTGTCACCCCCGACAGGCGATGACGAGGACAGGCGATGATGAAGAACATCCTGCTCCCTCTCCCAGACACGTTGCAGCACCCGTGGAAGCGCTGTGGCCCTCAGGGCACATTCCGGAATGGCGGGGCCCAGAGCAGCACCCACAGGGCCAGAGACTGGGTCAGGAGGACAAAGGTGGCCAACGAGGGTGCAGACGCTGTGTTGGGGTGCACAGCTGGGGAAAAACATGATGAGGGGCCCTAGCACCAGCAAGTAGCTCCATAATGGGGGTCACCAGAAGCCCCAACTTCCCCCCTCCTCTGAGAGCAGGCGCAGAGGGTCCCAAATCTCAACTGTGCAGCTCAGATGTCCAGTGTCCTCCCAAACCAGGGTCCCTGGGACGAGGGCTGAGACTGGCCTGGGTGGGACCAGTCCCAAAGAGGGTAAAGCTGGGGTGTAAGTGAGCCGGGTGGTAACCCTCAGGAGCTCGATGTAGGGACAAGGAAACATCACTCTGCCAAGGCACAGGGCTCTAGCGAGGAGAGCAGGGTGGGATCCCAAATCTGCCCCCTTATACAGTCCAGGTCTTTGGATTAGCACTCTGCCCCACACCCTGTTGCCTGTCCCTGAATCTCCAGCGCAGGAGGGATGTCTGTGACACCAGGAGGATGGCCGCAAACCTGGGGAGCTGAGAGAGGGAGGTGAGGGAGGGCAAGGCTGGGACAACCTGGGGGATGAGCTGGTGTCCCTTCCCACCCCATGGCTCCACAGGGAGCGTTGGCTGGTGGAGGGGAAGATAAGCTCACAGGGGCCAGGATTGCTCACAACATTCTCTGCTTTTACTGCCCTTGTTGTCTGGTAGCTAGAGGCTCTGATCTATCTTTAAATCTTTGGGATGGAAAGCCATGAGTTTCTGCTCCAGGGTGGCTGTATCACATACCCCAATGACCCCAACAGCCTGGGGATCCTGAGAACCTCCAAAAGCCCCACAACCTGACAGCCCTGATCCTCCGATGCACAGAGCCTTGGGCTGTCCCTGGGCTCTGGGTACCTGCGTGCCATGGTCACAGCCCCCCAGGAGCTGTGAGGGGACCAGCACGGCCCCCTCACCCCCTGTGCATGCTCTCACAGGGTGCGGGAAGAGCAATCATCCTCTCCACTAAGACAATGGAGGAATCCACTAGCAGTGTTTGACCTGACATATTTTAACCAAACGAGGCAGAAAATGCCAGCAGTGACACTGTGAGTGCCCAGAGATCTGCAGAAAGGTCTGAAAGTCCATTCAGTCCCCAGCCAGATGAGAGAGATTCAGTTGAATCTGCTTCTGGGCTTTCTCCAGGGTCTTCCGAGAGAGGTTCCAGCCTTATCTCTGTCCCAGCATCACTGACACCCCTCTAGTATCCAGGCTGATCCCCATCTGCTATGAGTCCTTTTTCACCAGCAGCAGCCAGGGCAGTACAGCCGCCAGCAAGGCCACAGTCAGGATGAGGAGGACAGCGAGGGCGATGGGTGACTGGCAGCATTTCACCCCTAGGGCCGAGCTGGAGGACACCGAGCTCCGCGTTTCTGCTCTGCTTCTCCTCCCCAGGGAGCTGCAGTCCGCATCCACCAGTGGCGTCCCGTGGTCGCTGATGACAAAGATGTGGGCTTCCCGTGCCAGCTCTCCTGGGACCCCCTGCGAGTCCACGGGGCTGCTCCCTGCGCTGCAGCACCGGTCAAAGCTCTGTACCGGCATCACAAAATGGCTGGGCACCACCAAGGTGTTGCTGGCCTCCATTTTGGTCAGATGGGACAAGGAGGAAGGTGATAGAGGCATCTCCAGAGTCCGGGGGTTGGTGCCCGCCTTGGGTGGCCATAGGGCCTTCTTCTTGCTGAGGAAAGTCACGTAGCGGCAGACGGGGCAGATGATGCTGCTCTGGACCTGGCCATCGAGCTTGGCAGAGAGCAGGCACTTCACCAGGCAGTCGTGGCAGAAGGTGTGCCCACAGCTGAGCTTACGGTGCATGGCCTCCAGCGGGTGAAACTTCTCGTAGCACACGGGGCACTCGGCCGGGGGACCCTCCTTGGTGGATGAGGTCTCGGACATCCCTGCTCTGTTGGCCACAGGTGCTCCTCAGCTGCAAGAACGAGGTGTGATGGGTTAATAGGGTCTCGGCTGCAATGATGAGCATTATCCATCTCTTCACCTCTCCTCCTGTCCCTGCTCTCTTGCCTTTGCCCTCTTCCCCTTAACAGATGCAGTGGATAGCTACTAGGCATGCTCTCAACAAGGCAGAACATCTTCAGGAGCATTAAGCCTCTCAGTGTGGCCCTTGGGGTAAAAGAGAGATGATGGGAGGACCTGAGCTCCAGAGCCACTGGGGGCAATAATCCCTGGCTGTAATATCACATGGAAAAAGGGATGAGCCCCTGGATGGAGCTGTGTCTACCTGCTCAGCGCCTGGTACAGATAAAGCAGGTTCAGCTTGTGTCACAAGTGCCTCTGTGCTCCGCTGCCAGCTCCAGGTGCACAGGGAGTGAGAACTCCCATCCCAGAAAGAAGCCTGCCAAGGAAAGGGAGATGCTCCAATCCCGGGGGACGCAGAGGGGCCAGGCAGGAGCAGGGGGAGGCCGGGTCAGTGGGGCAGGTGGGAGCACAGGACCCCACGGGGATGGAAAGGGAGCGTGCCAAACCCCGGGCAGGCAGCGAGCACCCACGCCAGGCTCCTTCCAGGATGCTGGACGATGTCCCAGGCTGGTGGCCAGGCCACTGTCATCTCCAGGCCGTGCTCCTCACTCACGCTGCAGCACGGTGCGGGCAGCAAACCTCAGAGACCAGCGTCTCCTGTTAGTCAGAGCGAGCAGGGCAGAGCCCAGGCGGCTCACCCAGCCCCCGCCCTGGCCCGGGGTGCGAGGGGGAGCGCGGGGCCCCTCTGATCCCCAGCCCTGCATCTGGGCTGGGTCTGAAGCTCTCCTGTACATCTCCCAGGGCAGGGAGCATTCATGTGGAGACTTTAGAGAGGAAAGAGGGGAGAAGGGAGAGAGGAGAAGAGAGGAGGGGAGGGAGAAGGGAGAGAAGGAAGAGAGGGGAAAGAGGAGATGGGAGGAGGGATGCTCAGCTCCCTTCTCTTAGTTCAGGAACTGGAGCTTCATAAAGCCTGCAGGTTTTTCCAGACCTTATAGCATTTTCAGACCCAACCCAACCTGCACCCCTTTTCTCACGTATGACTGTGCCCCTGGACACCCTCACAGCTGGTTCTGGAGGTTTTGCCATCTCCCTCCTTGGCTGCCCTCTTCTTGCACAGGAGCCACCCCCTGCACCAGGATGGACACAAGAACACAATCAGCCATCCCTTCTCCATGCAAGAGAAGAAAGATCCAGGCTCCTGCTTTGGTTTAGGAGGGATCAGGGACTTCATGCTCCCCCAAAGCGCTGCAGAATGAGACCCCAAGCCTGTGCACTTGCTCCTCTGTGTCCCAGAGTCCCCTTACCTGTTGCAGGGCACCAGGGCAGGGGCCCCTCCATGCACTCCACCACCGTCCCCAGAAGCAGGGCTGGCCGTGCTCCGGCCCCAGCACCGAGCACCAGCTGAGAAAGGGACCGGGGCACCTATATAACACAGAGGTGTTGGCTCCGCGTTTCATGCACGCACGTTGCGCAAACGCCGGAGCAGAGACAGGGACAGCTCCCGGGGAGTGAATGCGGAGGAACTCGTTCAGGTTTTAAAGGCCTGATATTTGCCTGGTTGGCCAGGGAGTGGGCGAGGAGCCGGCGTCAGGCGTCAGAGGGCAGGGACAGGAGGCATGGGCCTGCCTGCTTTCCCTCATGTAATGGGAAGCTGTAACTGGGCTTGTCCCTGGGTTCAAAACCCCAATGAAAACAGGCAAACCCCAACCAACCAGGGCTGGGTTCCTGCCAAACTCTTCTCACCTCTACCCACCACCACTCCCCACCCCTTGCCCTGGCCACATCTTCATCCCCACGCCCCCCCTCCCCTCCTCATCCCCCAAACACTCATCCCCCCCAGCCCTGCACTCCCCATCCTACATCGTCAGACGTTCACCAGAGCCCCGGTGTGGCGGTGCGTGGCCCAACAAATACACTCGAGTCGGCGTGGGGACCACCGCAGCCTCGCACCTGCCCTGGGGGGGTTCCAGCATCTCTGGGAATCATGGCCCAGACAGCAGCAGGAGCCCCAGGCTTGGCCATCTCAGCAGCTGTGGTGGCTTGTGAGTCACTCACTGTTTGGCCACGTGCAGGCTGGAAAACCACACAGAGAAGGTTCTCTGTGGCCTTACGCCTGTGCAGGGGTGCTGCCCATCCCTCACCCAACCCCCAGGCAAGAAACCAAGAGGCATCTTCCCTGCAAAGCCTCGTAAAACTGTTTGTGGGGTGGGTTGCTCCTTCCTCAATATAGATTTTTTCCAGACACCCCTGCCACTCCTCAGCCCGTCCAGTGGCCACAGGGCTGCCGGCCTACACTCAGTCTTGTTGAGCATCTCCAAGGGGATCTGGATGCTGTTTGCCACATCCAGAGGAGGTCCCCAGAGCAGGCGCAGTGACCCCAAGACACCTGCCTGCATGCCTGGCTCTGGCTGTGGCAGTACACACACAGGACATGGATTTGCACCATTAAGGGGCCTGAATGTCCCAGAGGATCTGGGGTCTCCACCATGGAAAGCCCTCAGGAGAAACCTGGACATATAGGGAGGTCTTGCCTTGGGGCAGAGAGATGCTTTGCAGAAGCATTCCCAGCCCTGTGCTCCTCCAGCTTCAAGAAGGTGCCCAGGGCTCTGCAGAGTCTGTGGGGCAGGAAGAAGAAGAGATGCACCCCTGGCACTCAAAACCCAAAGAGGTGGGCCCTGGAGTCCCTCCGTGGGCAGGAGGGGTGGTTTCATGCAGCTGGGTGCTGTGGCAGAGCTCAGGGCTGCAGGCGTGGGCAGCAGTATCAGTCACTCGTGGGCGCAGCAGTTGCAGTGGTTACAACACGAGGTTGGTTTCTGGAAGAAGAAGGGTGGGTGCAGCCCCACTGGGACACCCCATATGCTGGGGCTGCTGCCAAAATGCATCTGCCCTGTGCAGAGAGCACCCACGGGGGGAGGCCTGTGCCCCAGGGAGGACCTCTCGAGCCATGGAGCCTTCTCCTTCGCTGGAAGGAGACCCAGAGCACATCAACAACTTCCACACCTCTGCTTCGGATCAGGGACCAAGCCACTCCACTTGTTATCCCAGTTTTCTCAGGATGATCAGAAATTGAGGCTGAAACCTCACCAGACTGATTGTGCCAGGGCCGAGGTTGCACAGTCACCCCTGGTGTAGGCATCCCCATCCCCTGGCTCCTCCTTGAAGCTGTTGGAGGTGCCAAGGCTGCTTACACGCACAGAGATCTGCAGTGCTGAACAAGTGATCTGGGCCAGCGAGAGTAGATTTGGGGCAGCTGAGCATCTCCCCAGCTCCAGTTTACTCTCTGCTGGAACCGAGGCGGGGTGGAAATTCCTGTTTCCCATACTTTGAATGCTCTCCGCAAGTCGGAAACTATGAGCTCATGGCTCTATACATAGGCACTGGAAAAACGAGTCTGCCTCCCTTTGCTGCTTTGACCACGCCAAAATCAAAGGGATTTTGGCATATCATGGGCCGGCTCTGTCAGCAGTTTCATTCTTTCCCGTGTATGGCTTCTCTCAGTGCCTTTGCCCCACTTTCATGTGTGGCAGCATCTTTCCTGAGTGACAGGATTGAGTTTGCCAGTGCCTGAAGGACAAGAAACCAGTTTCAGGGGCAAAGTGAGTCCCTAAACACTGTCTGTATTTTTCTCTCAGGCTTTAAGGAGCCCAGTTTACAGCCAATGTTTCATCCCCCCCTCAAACCCAATGCAGGGTCAAGGGCTCCAAGATACTTTTATCCAAGCAAGAATGTGGCGCCAAGCTCAGCACCTCTCCAGACTGCAGCTGAGACCTTCTCTTCTCTGGGGTCGGTGGCTTCCAGTGAACAAGGGACATTTCTGATCCAGAGGAGGACACAGCCCTCACTGCAGGGTCGGGGTGGCCAGCGTTCCTTCCCTGCAACTGTGCTGGCATTTGAGCAGAGCTTTGCAGCTTTTTGCAAGGACAAAAGGATGCTGCAGAAACAGCTCTTGTCTTCCACAGCATCACCCAAGCTTTCCACTCTCAGCAACCATGTGAGGAGAGCGGAAAATGCTATTATATATAGTTACATCAAAGTGCTTATTTTCAAAGCACATTTAAAGCCAGGAGATTGATCTATATGTGAGTCTGGTGCCAGCAAATAATCACTATAGGCCTCAATATTTCCACATCAAATCCATGCTGCCCTTCCCCAGGTCCTAACTGATGAAGCAGGAGCGTTTCCAATGAGCTTAGATGTGTCCCACATCCCTTCACTCAGCTGGGCCCAAGATCCTGGTGAGAAAATCCCAGATTTGTTCTTGGTGGCAAGATGCACGCAGGGAGCTTTGCCATGCAGCCACAACCCATCCTCATGGCTGGTGGCTGCTGGAAAGGCTGGGCTGGGTGAAGTCTGTAAATGAGTGACTGCCAAAAGCTGCAGGAGGGATTGCTGTGCCTCTGTCTATATTCTCTTCTCTCGGTGCCATGAATGCTTCACAAAATGGTGGCTGTGATGGCCACTGTCCCTGTCCAGTGACACTGGTGTGTCCCCGGTGAAGCTGCAGGACAGGTCTGGTTGCAGCGTGGTGGGGATGCTGCCCCTCCTGCCTCTCCTCCTGCTCCTTTCCATGCTGGGCTCCTTACACCATTTGCACCTTTTCCCCATCACCCCGGGGCCAGCACGCCCGCCCCGGGGTCACAGTCAGTCCTCCCAAACTCCCCCAGGTTTTCCCTTAACAATGCTCAACCTGCAAATCTGAGGCTTTATGGAAGTTTTCTGCTCCATCCATTCTCCTCCCACCTTTCCCCAGACCCAGCTCGAACACAGTGAGTTGTTGGCATTGATGGGAACAAGGTGAAGGGATGGGCAGAGGGGAGGTAAATCTGTGTTTGATCCCAGCCCAGGAAGATATTCCCGTCTGGGGAAGAAGCTTAGTGAAGAAAAATTACTTTCCCAGGGCTGCACCATGCTGATGGAGGGTTCGAGGGTCCTGGCCCCTGTCTGAGTTACCTCCAGTCCCATGTTGTCAAAATAAACTCACATAGCAGGAAAAGATGGATGAGCCTGGGGGCACCCAAGCTCCTTAAAGGGTCTTGTGTGCCCCTGCCTTGGGTGCCCCTGAGCTTGTCAATCTTTTCCCACACTTGCTTTGCTTGAATTCAGAGTGAGAAAATCAGTGTCTTTTCCTTCTAGGTGTCTCCATCCTGCCCATCAGGCACCTGGCAGGATGGAGACCCACCATCAGGACACCAATTTAACCAAGATGGCCTAAAATGCATAACAGGAGCTTTTCCTTCAACTTTCTCCTCGGTGCTTTCTGCCGTGGCCAGGAGGTGGTGCTCTCGGATGTGCTTTCGCCATCTTAAAAAAAAAAAAAAAAGTCAGGAGTGCACTGAAAAAATAGCCCTGAGCCTGCCTTTCCAGGGGTGCCAGGGTCTGGAGCTGGTGGTCCCCACCAGATGAGATGGATGGGATCTGCTCAACCTCCTGCCGATCAGAAATTTAGGTCGAGCCATTTGATGGGATGAATACTTACCAAACACCAAGGAATGTCTGGGTATGGCCCCAAACCTTTCTCTGACCTCTTTTCCTGCCAGATGCTGCCGGCTTTGCGAAGGGACCTCCATGGTTCCTGAGCATCACAGCTCCGACCTGCCCCCGCCTCCCTGCTGCTGGCAACAAACCTTCCCGGGAACGACCCCAAACCTGGTGTGAGCCCTTGGAGCCTTATTCTGACACCAAATACGGGGGATTTGTCCCATCCAGTCCATGTAGAGCCACACAGCCCCATGGTGCACGGGGTTTACCCATGACTGGGAGGGCAGCTGCAGTCTCCAGGGGCCCCTTCAACCTTTATTTCCCCTCCAAAGACGTGCTCCACCAAGCAGGGTGTCAGCTCACTGCAGGAGCTGCCTCGAGTGAGCCTGGAGACTGCCCAAATGCAATCACCTGAGGTGATGAGCGGTACCAGGGCTGCACGAATCCCCCTGGATGTGGTGGCAAGAACCAGCCCACATCCCCCCTCCCCTGGCCCGGGGCTGCCTCCCCGCATCCCTCCCCATCTCCCTGGCCCCGCTCCCACCCCACATCCCACCCTGGCCCCTCCAGGATGCTGGTTAACAGCAGGAGGGAGTTGCTGCAATGGTAATCCGAGGCATCGTGTTCATAATGGAGAAACAATACCGCTTTGAAGCGAGCAGGCAGATGCTCAAGGGAGAAGAAGGCGCCTATTCAGCGGCAGCAGCCGGGGTGGGCAGCTGCCCACTTGCAGAGCCCTGCGCTCGCCCGGGGCTCACTTTGGGGGTCCTGCCAGGATGAGGAGCAGCATATCAAAACCCCGGAGGGACCCATCATCAAACCCTACCATCAAACATGGCCAAAGAATGGCAGATTGTCCCCTTGCTCGACCCCCCCCATCCCAGTGCCCACACCAGCCCCTTTGGGGAAGCACACAAACCAGATGTAGACCTACCACGGTCCCTGTGGTCCACCTCTGCCATGCCGTGAGCCATGCCACGCCAGGAATGTTTTATCACCAGAATCTCCTGTAGCAGAGGGTACTGCCTGACTCTTACACCATCCCCTCTGGCCGCCTTTTCATCAGGCAGCTCCCTTGAGCATTATTCTGGGAGACATGGCACAGAAACCCTACAATGTCAGGAGAAAAGGCCACTGGCATTGGGGATTTGGGGCCTTTTACTAAAATGGGATGTTCCCCATGATTTTGGCTGCCAGGCTATGTCACAGTTTGGGCTTTTCCTCCAAGCCTGGCTCCTGGAGGGCTGAGA